TAGCTCCCACCAATAAGTGAGAACATGTGGTATTTCTCTTTCTGTGCCTGACTTGTTTCACTTAATATAATTCTCTCAAGGTCCATCCATGTTGTTGCAAATGGCAGTATTTCATTCGTTTTAACCAATTTTACATTTAAGATGAAAAGAAAATGTGAAGAAAGTAAGTGCCCCAAATGAATATCCTTAGGTGAATTCCCAGAATGTTCTAGAAGCCAGTTGACACACATTCAGTCACCAGCCCCATCTCTATCTGTAATGAGATCTACTGTTCAGAATGATTACTTTGTGGTCTTACAAGATCTTTTATCACCTAACACTGTGGCACATTTGCCAGACAATTCCCAGTGAGATGGAAGGGACCTCACTACATTTATTCATTATTTTCAGCAGAAAGGAATGAATAACCAGGTGCTCTGAAGCCTCAGTTAACCAGGAGATTAAATTGCTTGGTGTCTCCTACTCCCCAAATCTACCTGTTAAACTGTTTAACATGTTACCCTAAATCAAGAGCACATGGCAAACTGTACCAACACCCAGTCTGCATGCGGGAAAAGGCTGCTGACTTGGGCGACCGTCTGGCCTGTGGCAGGGAGGGGGTGGCCCTGGAGCTGCCCAGCCCAGTCCTGGGGGGTTCACTGAGGACATGCCTGGTGACCCTCCTCACCAGGTGAGGAGCTTTCTATTGAGGTTTTCAGTTCAGATAATGTATTCTTTATTTCTAGAAGTTTTTTTTTTTTAATTGATTCAGTTCCTTTGTCAAGTTTCTCATTCTGTTCCTGGATTGTTTTCCAAATATCATTCAATTTTCTATCTGTATTTTTTTGTGACTCCCTGAACATGCTTAAGAGAGTTATTCTGAATTCCGTGTCAGACATTTCATAAATCCACTGTTCCTCTGGGTCCATTGCTGGCGCTTGGTTTGTTTCTTTTGATGGTGTCATATTTTTCTATTCTTAATCTTTGTGTCTTTACATCGATGTCTGGGCAATTGAGGAGACTGCTGCCTCTTCTAGATTTTATAGGTGTTCTTTGGTGATGTTAGACCTTTACTTGTTAATATCAGAGCTTTGTCTCTGATCTGTGTTTTTCTTTTCTTTTTTTCTTTTTCTTTTAGTTCCATGTTGAATTATTATCTACCACCACCCCTTAAATTCTGCACTGGAACTGATTTGTTGTTCTTTGTTTAATTCCAAAATGGGGGACTTTCCTGTGGGGACCAGCACTTGAACCCTGTGGTTGAACTAAATTGCTGCATTGCTGCTGATTCTTTGGGGAAGGCTTTTTGTGTGGACTGGATTTTACTTGTTGGCCTTTTAATCACTTCTGGGTCTTGTGAGGTCAGATACACCTGAGCTGTGTGGAAATTCTGGCCGGGGACCGAGTCTTTCCAGCAAACCATGTGCCCTGCAGTTCTATTACCCTGACAAGTCTCAACTGGGTGGGCCTGTGCTGGTTGGAAGGCTAACCAGCTGCCCACGCTGTGCCCCAGTGTTCCCCTGGTAAACCATCCTCTCCCCTCACTCTGAATTCTTCCTGTGGGATGGGCCATGTGCTGGTCCATTTCAGTGACTCACCAGCCTCTGGGTGGCTCCTATTTTTGGTCAGCTGCAGCCCGTCACTTCTTTGTAGGCCCATGGAAACCATGTCAGTGGTCTCACTGGCCTGGGGGCTGGTGGGGTGCACGCTGAGTCTTTCTTCTACCCTGAAGACTCCAGGCAACTTTGCACAAAGGGCAGAGCTGCAGCTATTACCAGCTCCTGCTCCAAGTGCTTACCAGGGCCAATCCTGAAGTGGCTGGGGCTCGAAACAGTCAGAGTTGTCCCTTGTTTCTTTCCCCATGGCTTCTCTCACCTTCACAAGCTCTGCAGGTCTCTCCTCCTCTTCTCCAGTGGTCCTAGGTTAGCAGTCTTTGCTTTTTAATAGTTGTAAATTGATGGGTTGGGGGAGATAGTGGTGCTGGGGGCCGTCTGTTTTGCCATCTTGATGACGTCTCTTCCCCTTTCTAGATTTTATGGTTTTCTGTTGCACAAATTATCTCATATAGGTCAAGTACGACCATGCAGTATTCTCAACTTTTCCAGTTCCTGTTTGGTATGTGAAATGTTATGAATAGAAATAAATAGATAATTGTAAACCTTCTCCTTTTGGTAATAAGCTCCTTAGCAATACCATTGGAACAAATCAAGCAAGGAGCATCCTGAAGCTGTGCGTGGTTGCCTAGCATGGGGCAGGCATCACAGTGACCGTGTGGCCATTGCTACCACTCTCTTGCTCATGTTGACCACACAGCATGCAAGTGCTCGGCTGCCCGCGTCATGGAGCTGAAGGCGTGGGGACACTGCTCTGGAGAGGGGTGCTGCTTCCAGGAGCTGGCAGCCACCCTGTGTCTTTCCTCCAGCACCGTGTACAATGCCCAATCAGGTAAAGTGAGTGCCACAGCCTTTTTTTTCTTGCCTAATTTATAACATGAGGTACATTGTACGGATGAAAAAAAATAATTGTGCTAAAAATTAGGACAGTAAAATATGGACCTACTTCACCTATTTCCAAGGAGCCTGGCCGGGGTGGGGAGTATCACGCTGGAAGAAGGCGTGGCATGCGGCTTACGTGAGAGATTGGAGGAAGCCGTGGTTCTACAGCTGATATTACATGGAACCTGGATCCCGTTTCTTCATTTGTGTAACACGAATTAAACAAAAACCTGGTGGTGCCTTTAGAGATTTTATGGTCATGAAATATAATGAGAAATATTTTTAAAACTCTGAAACAATAAAAATTATTAAGGGACCTATCAAGATTATTTAATAAAACTTCTTTTTAAAATACACACACCAGTAAGGATTCTAGCTCTGTGTAAGTGGTGGTTCTTCACGCTTCGGGCAGTTCCACGCATCTTCCGACCATGATGCCACACATCAAAATGCTTTTGGAGCCCTCATGTGACTCACCCTCAGAACTCAACATTGACCTCATCACTGTACAGCAAGATCTCGTCTCTAATCAACATTTCCTAATTCCATGAATTGTATCAATGACTAGGCTTGGTGTCAAATAAACTTTGGTTATTTTTTAAAACCCAAGTCAACTTACAAAGGTAAAACACTTCCACCAATGGGGCAATTTAAAAGGAGTGCTAGCGGCATTTTGGTGGTGAGGTGTAGCACCTCGGAAAGAGCTGACACTGGTCGAATGATGTTCTGCTGTGTAAGCTTTTGTAGTCAGACTACATGTTAATGGAAAGGAAAATAAAACATATACCTGCTTAATAAAGTCTCCCCTAAGCAAACATTCCTAAGTAGAATAAGTAAAGCTCTTCTAATTCCTAATATATTTGCTATTTTTCTTAATTTTCAAAGCTGTTAACCTAAATAGTTTATGCAGAAGAAGTGCAGTAGACTCTGCTTGTAAGGTTGGTGTCAGGGACCAACGCTGTGCCTTGTGTCAAGTTATTGCTGATTATTTACGGGGAGTGTCTGCTTGGTTGTCACAAATGGCTCAAACATATGGCTGTGTTGAATGTAGATTCTATAAACACATAGAGATTTTCAGCATGCACTGGTGTCTGGCTAGCAAATCTCAGATGGCCTTTACCAACATTTTGTTATTACACCTATAAAGACACAAAAAATGTTGAAAATTCACAATGGCACTAAAAATGCTGAAAAATCTCTAAGTACAACACAGATGGAGCTGAATAAAACCAAACAACAGGTTGCCTAAGTGTGCTTTCCTGCAGGAAACAGTGGCACTGGCCATGGGAGAGCAGGTGGAAGACAGTTTTCCTCCCCCGTCTGTCCTTCCCTCAGAAATGCTGGGCTCAAACCAGCCAGAGAATTGGGAAGCCAAACCTTTACAGTGTGGGTGACATGGAAAATTATAATTTTTCACATATGCCAAGTGACTTCGAGTGTCAAAGAACAGTTCTAATCTAAAAGGCAGAAAAACAATTTCAACTCAGCACAGCAGAATGACCCCAGATGGAAATGGGTTAGAATGCATCTCCTAGGTTTACATCTGAGAAGGGCTCAATAGCAGCCGCAAAATCAGAGGGGTCAAAGGTAACTCTCACCCCTTGTGTGTGGCCAAATGTCAGGTGTGTAAGGAGCTCTCCATTCACAGATAGAAAACTATGAGGGCCAGACCAGTGCAGAATAAAGAAAAGGGAAATCACACTAAAAATGAAATGAACGTAAGTCTGAAAATACGAAATGAGATGGAAAAGTTGAGACAAGGGGCTTGCAAGAAAACTAAAACCGAAAATTAGGGAAATTTGGTTCAGAGAAACTGAGGAAATTTGGGGAGGGTGTCCAAGAAGTCAGGGTAAGGAGACAGGTCGTCCTCACAGCTGAGAACAGAAGTGCTTCTCATGCAGAAGCCAGCGTGACTGTCCCTATTCTGGGGAAGTTAATACAACACCTAAATATGTTCCAATAGAATCTTTGAGTTATAGGGAAATAGAAATTCCATAACAATCTGTAATAAATAAATTTTGACAAAAGATCAAAATTCAGGCTGATATAAAATTTCTCCTCTGTTCCATGTCTATTGTTATTTATTATTTCAATGTGTTTTTTAACAATATCTTCTTGTTTAAAACATATTTTCTATTTGAATATACCCTACAATGACTTAGGAAGGCAACTCAGAATTAAAGCTTCAAATAGAAAGCTCAACATGTATGAAGAGATGATCTCTAAAATCGGTTCATCTATAGCTCATTCTAAACTACTATCGCTTGGATTATAAATTCAAATTAAGTGATGAAAAATAAAAAAAAATACTGTGCAAATATTTTGTAGAATTATAAATATTCAGTAAATTTTAACAGGAAGATTAAAAACAGAAGGAAGCACACATAACAAATGTGGAACAGAAAGATAATTAAGAAGCAGGGATAGAAACACGCTGTGTTTCTGGAACAAGAGAACAAACATGGTGAACTTCAAAATAATTATCAGTCAGTAAGAACTGAGTTTACTATATTTAAGCTTCGTAAGAAGATATATAGTAAATACTTAACATTTGTTAAAAGGAATACATTTAATTCCCTTGTTAAGGGAATAGGTTTAATTCTAATAGAAGAACCAATGAATTTTTATTGGGGCATCAAATAAAATAATTCTAAAGTTCACATATAAGAAGAAATGAATAAAACTGGACAAGATGCTTTTAAAAATAAAGACCAGCGAGAGTGGATATACACAAAAAGTTGCTAATGTAGCTATAGAGCTACGTGACGTTTTACTGATGTAATAATCGGCCGATCTACAAGCGAATAAGCAACCTTAAAACACAGTGGTTTATACAAGAACATAATAGTTTGTGTAAGAATTTACTATTTAATAAAGATGTCATCCCAAGTCAGAGGGGGAAAGAAGACTTCTGCAGTAAACGGTGCTGGGGACATGGCTTACTTATTAAAAACAGACAAAAAACAAGTGTATCTTTCTAGAAAAGCATTTCAAAGGAAAACTTATCGAATTGCTCACGCAGTTACCTGTGGGCAGTGCTGTGACAAGTGACCGTTCTTTTTTATACCACACAGATTACTTTCTAAAGAAGAAGAAAGTTGTTAAAAAAAAAAAAACCACTGGAATTTTCCGATTTAAGTTGGTGGATTTACTGCATTTATTTCTTTTCCCTTCAGAAACCTAATTGCGATGATAATGAAGGAAGAAACTAGGTGTATTTCTACAACCATAAAGACAACAGGAAGGGCGAAGAGATTTCCACGTGTCTTTGGAAGACAGAAAACAGATGGCAGGGTAGCGAGCGGTAAGTCTGGAGAAAGCGGCAGCTTGAAACACCTGCAGACTTGAAACCCCAGAGAGAATTTCCGGGACTCAGAGCTCTAGGTAAAATATAGCATGGGACTGATAAACGGGGTTGACACAGGAGTATCAATTGAAAGCCCATGGATGAAATAGGCGATAAGTGAAAAGAAAACCCACACTTATTATTATTTTTAAATAGACGTATTATTTCAAAATCCAAAAAGCTTTTGGGGAGAGAAAAACAATTGGTGATTCACAGAGGAGCAAGCATCAGGCTCCCATCAGGCTAATAATCTGCAACACTGAATGCTAGAAGCAAAGGAGCTGTGCCCCCTCGCTTTGAGGGACGATGCTTTATAAAACTCCAATTGCACAAACAGCTAAAATTTTAAACATATATGAGAAAAAAGAGACATTTTAAGGTATTGAAGAAATTGGGAAGGGTCAGAGAAGCTCCTTTCCGCCAGCCTGGAGTGCCTAGGCCCGGGTTTGCAGCAATCAGGGACCGTGTGAGTCCACCGTCACCTTCTTGGGGAGGCTGGGCCTGCCCAGAGAGAGCGGCGGAGTGGCAATAGGAAACATGGACTTTGTGACAAAATCAGCCAGAGCCCGTGTCACTAGAGGAGAACCAAAGCAGAAATAGCCTCTGCACCCCACTGGTAATGACCTAAGTCAGAGGTTCTCAAAGTGGGGCCCCAGGCCAGCAGCACCTGGGAAGGTATTAGAAATGCAGATTCTCAGGCCCCACCCCAGACCCACTGAATCTGAAATTCTGGGGGTGGGGACAAGCAATGCCTGGTTTAGCAAGGCCACCGGTGACTCCAGTGCTTGAGTTTGAGAACCACTGACGTCAGGCCAGAAGGAGACCACGTGAGAACGATTCCAAGCGCCATTTAACCACAGATCTCTGTTTCTATCTCTGCCCCTCCTAAAGTTCTCTGAGTGACTAAATGCATTGGTAGGCAGACAAGTGCTTCAGAAGGAAGAGAAATTTGGTACCAGCTAAAGGAGAGGAGAAAACAGGATGTGAAGCAGAATCACTTTTTAAGACGTCAGACCTGGAGC